CGGGCCAGCCCACCACCGGCCTTCTCCTTCCTCGCTACAGGAGGCACGAGAGGCGTGGCATGCATCCAGCCGCCATGGCCACGTGCCGGCCATCCCATGGCCTGCCTGTTGGATAAGGCGACCCCCCGACCCACTGGTGAACCCTAGCTTCTTTCCCCCTTTTCCCCCGCGCCGTTTTCTTCCTCCCCGCGCTGTAGGGAGGTGCCCATCCGCTCCGCCGGCCTCCCCTTCATCGTCTTCGCCCACGGGATTGAGCCCGGAGACGCCCCGTCGTCGCCGTCGTCCTCGTCTTCACCGACGGTCGTCATCGATGCCCCGCCGCGGATCCACGCTCCGGCACGTCCCGGCCCTCCCCGAGCTCGTCCGACGCTCTCTGTGAGCCCCCTCCGTCGACCCCCCCTGTTTTTTTCCTTTTTAGTCGTCGTAGTCCGCCGCGCCCGAGCCTCCGGCCACGCCCCGGCTCCGCTCCCGCGTGAGCTCACCACGGCTCCCCTGCACCCCCGCGCGAGGCCTCCCTGCCTGCCTTTGCCTTGCCCGCGCGCACCTCCGCTCGCGTCCGCCATGGCCGCCGCTCCCTGCTACACGCCATCCCCGCTCGCCCCTGTCCGTCACGGGCGCAACCCGCCTGCCGGCGCTGCTGTCGGCCGCTGCTGCTTCGTATTGCTGTCGCTACTGCCTCCTGTTGCTTGCTTTTACTATGCTGATGCTTTGCTTGCTGCCGCCGTCGCTCGTTGTCGTTGCTACCTGCTGCTATTGCCTCTACGCCCCTGCCGCTGTTGATGCTCGTTGACTGCTGCTGCTCTTGCTTCCTACTGCTGCTTATTGCTGCTGTACCCGCTAGTTGCCGCCGCTGCTGCTCCGTGCTTATGCCGCTGCTTGGTTGCTGGTGCTACTGCAGCCTGCTACCTCCGGCTGCGGCTGCTATGCCATGGCCAAGGCCATGGCCGTGGTGTGTGTGTGTGTGTGTGTTTTGTGTGTGTATGCAGCGTGGTGTGTGTGAGTGTGCTGTGTGAGTGCACGTGTGTGTGAGTGTGTGTGGTGCTGGCCCAAACTAGTTTAGGTCTATTTAGCTAGATTAGTTCTAGGATTAATTCTGCTGTTTAGATAGTATCAATTTAGTGCTAGATTAGCCTAATAGCTTATGACATGTGGCCCTTTGTTTTAAATTAGTTTAGTTAATTCTCTTTTTGCACATGAGGGGTTCACACTTGAGGTCACCAGTATCGCTTAGCTAATTGGGCATCAACGGATGAGTATGGGAAGGTGAGATACACTTATGTCCATCTTAGAAAAATCTTTAATACCCAATGTACACGATTTTCCTAGACCCGCCTTCTTTCGTTGACGTTAGCTGTTGAGACGTTGTATCATCCATGCACCACGTGCATCCGCAATATCCGTGGCACACCTGGCCTGTGACATATCCGTAACCGAGATAGTTGTGCACCGTCGTGATCAGCGCGACTCTCATATAGAAATACTCGCCTTTACTAGCGTCCCATGTCTTGGTTGGTGTTTTTCATAACGTGTCTAACTCTTCTTGAAATAGCCCCAGAGACATATTAATATTATTTCCTGGTTGTTTCAGCCCTTGAATCAGTATGCTGATGTGTATGTACTTTGACTTCATGCACACCTAGGGGGGATGTTGTACATCCATACAAACACGGACCATGTGCTATGGTTGGTGTTTTGGTTGCCAAACGGATTCATGCCATCGATACACGTGCCAAGCACAATGTTCCTTGCATCACATGTGAAATATCGATATTCGCCATTGAACGCTCTCCACTGGCTTGCATCCGTGAGGTTTCTCAACTTCAGATCATCTCCATCGTCGGGCTTTGTCCTCTTCGCGTGCCAACGCATGAGCTTTGCTTCTTGGGATCTACAAAATAACGTTGCGGACGGGGAGTGATCAGTAAGTACCATACAACTTTCTAGGGAGATTTCTTTCTGGCCTTCTTGTGTCGAGAAGTATTGCACACCGGACAACCAATTTTTCCCGCATGCTCCTTCCAATAAATTATGCAATCGTTGATGCATGCATGGTATCTAACGTGTCGCAGATCAAGAGGGCACACAATCTTCTTGGCCTCATCCACACTAGTAGGACATAGATTCCCCGTGGGAAGAACATCCTTTAGGTACTTGAGAAGCTCATCGAGGGTACTGTTAGTTCATTTGTTTTTAGCCTTCGTCTTCAGAAGTTCGAGCGTGAAACTCAAGCGGGTTACCACGGGATCACAAACATCATACAATGGAGTGTTCGAGTCTACCATTAGAAGCAGCTCTGTGAGTACTCGTCTCCTTGCAAAGCAGTCCTCGAACTTGAGGGTCCCACACGAATGGACTTAGTAGCGACAAAGTCTGTGGCATGTCCATGTTTTGTCCACTGCCATTGTCGGCCTCTTCTTCGCCGCCATCTTCGGCCCCTTCTCCGCCGCCATTATCGGTCATCTCTTCATCTTCCCCCGTGTCATCATTGTCTGCCCCGTCGGCGTTCTCATCATCTTCTTCTTCAATTATCCATCGAGTATACCCATCCATGAAACCAGTCATGAGCAGGTGCACGATCAATCAACCATCCTCATAGGGGTCGAGCCAAACTCCTTCTTTGCATCTTTGACACGGACATAAAATCTATGTCCGGTTATTTTCATTCATGTCCTGCACTGCCTACCACAACCACCTTTCCACCATTGTTGCACAGACCATCATGAACGCCCGTGTGGTAATAATAAACAAATTTATTGTAAAAATGCATGCATGCATCAAAGTCATACAAAATTTGGCATGACCTTCCCTAAAAATAGGACGTATAGAGTTTGCCCAGAATTTGCCAAAATGGAAATAAATCGACATTTCGGCAAAACATAGGCAACTCAACCACTTGCTACCTTGCTGTTTTTATATTTTCAGATTACAAAAACCTATATCTACCATCCATATTGCACTTGTATCACCATCTCTTCGTCGAACTAGTGCACCTATACAATTTACCATTGTATTGGGTGTGTTGGGGACACAAAAGACTCTTTGTTATTTGGTTGCAGGGTTGTTTGAGAGAGACTATCTTCATCCTACACCTCCCACGGATTGATAAACCTTAGGTCATCCACTTGAGAGAAATTTGCTACTGTCCTATAAACCTCTGCACTTGGAGGCCCAACAATGTCTACAAGGAGAAGGTTGCGTAGTAGACATCAGCGCTACTGCTAAGTGCGGCCCGCCATGTGCACAAGTTCAAACTTAGCCGTAGCACCCTACCCTAGAAATATGGTACTACTGTTTGGTTAGCACTAGCGCATTTTTGTAAGGGCGCTACTACTATACCTAGTCTGGCGGCAACGGCGACAATTATAGTAGTAGCGCCTTTTCTTCTGGATGTGCTACTGCTATCTGGATAGCAGTAGCGTCCTTTGGGACCACATGCTACTGCTAAGTAGCAGTAGTGCTACATTTTGATATGCGCTACTGGCAAGCTTCTGTGTATAAGGTTTTCCCTAGTAGTGTTCCTAACAGTATAATTCGCTGAGTGGACCTCATGCCAGATGGTGAGGGCGGCAATAGGCCAGATGTTGATGTTGAGGACTACCAGAGTAGCAATATCCCAAATGGAGTTAACGATGTGTGGAGCAGTGAAACCTATGAGCAGAAAGACTTGTGTTGCCGCCATGCATAGAATAACGAGGTGGGCAAGAGGAGTCGGTGGAGATGGTATTGTACTCCAAGTTCGCCTTTGTGTTCATCCTGTCCCAGAGAAGCGGCCCACCAAAAAGTTTGACCTTGATGGGGGCCATGGAGCCCCAGATATAGCTAGCGTTGTCATCAACCTCAGAGTTGGGCGAAAGTGATGTGTAAGCACACCTTGAGGAGAACGTTGAGCCATGGTTGAGGAACATTTCGTCTAGAGCATCACTAGTAGAGAAATCCTGCAGTAAAGATAAAATAGCAGCAAGCTTGACAGAAGCAACATGGGGCGATCCCACAAGTTCACGAGTAATCCATCCTGCAAAACCCGAGCAACCAGAATGTGGGGTGAGGTGGAGTGAGAGTTTAAGTGGGGGTAGGCTAAATCTAGAGGTCTTTCAATTAGCCAAGAGTTGCAAGAAGCAATGTTCAAGAAATCGTTAACAGGTAGTTGCTCGGTCGGTTTAGGAGTAGCGATTAATCGATGAATAAGCCTATTAAATGGATTAAACCATTAGTTGGTATATTGAATAGGAACTTGCTAACATATATCTAGATTTCTTTATGTATTGTACCATACTCTCATGCTCCCAGCTATGCAATATACCCAAACATGTTGTCGTGCACATATTAAAAGCATAGAGATGAGGTAAAATTATTAAATCCTAGCTATTAAGGAGTGGGATGGGGCTAGAAGGGGTTACAGGCCAAAATCTTGAGCTTTGTTTGCCCACCTGATAATGGTCCAGTAGGGATTAATCAGCCTGAGAAGTAATTAATGGTTGTAACTGGTCAATTGACCGGTCGACAAGTTAACACGGGAATAGGTGCTATTTGATTCGGCCACACTATGAGTAGCCATTAACTGGTCTGATTAACCGGGAGAATACTTGAACAATGGCCAGAAGAATGTGGAGGTGCCATTGTTAAGTAGGATGAAAAAAAATATTTTGTAGAGATTGAATTTGGTCATGGGATGAAACATAGATAAGATTAATTGACATGAATACTGATGCACCTTATATGGAACATAGGGTGTAGTACACAACCATCAAAGATGACTCTTTTGTTTACATAGGGAAACAACAACGGAAACATACTCAAGAAAATAATTTCCTATAGTTTCACACCCACATAACATATCTCCAGCCTTGGGCTTCTATTGATAATTTTGTTTCCAGGACAAATAACCTCTTAGAAATTTTCTCCACCCTTGCTAAAACCTTTGTGCATTCACCCATTGTGTGGCTGTGAGAAATATTGGTCCCAATAATATTAATCATGGGTTATCTAGTTATGCGGCAGGATCAACTTTGTAGGCTTTTCATCCTTGCTTTGCTATGCGAACTCATGTGACCACCATATGCTTGAGATGAGTTGAATGTGGCACTGCAAATCTTGCATTTGTACTTGCGTGCTGTTGTAGGACCATGTGTAATACCACTATCAGAAATAGCATTTGCACCAACTAGAGGGATTTTATCTTCTCTTGGAATAGGTGAGGACCGCATGCCTGGAGAACCAGGGGTAGGTACACCATAAGGATCATCAAATAACAATCTCCCATCTTGTATGTTCTGTTCCTGTTACATAGTACTTGGTGTGAAGGGGTGAATCTTTTCAGGATAACAAAGAAACGTAGATGGTAGTGAGTTTACCTTTGAGACATGCTTGATGTCCATCTTAGAGATCGAACCATCATCCGGCTCGCCCATAGCGATAACTTGGGAATGAACAATTATTTTTTGTTCTGTTTGGAGTAACGATGTAAAGGATGAAGCTTCCATGGAAATATTATGCCTCTGATGAGATGAGTCAAAGTCATTCCAAAAAGGATTTGTGAGGAATTCTTCATGTGAGAACATTTCTTTTTTGTCCAAGGATAAAGGATTAGGGATCATATCACCCAATTGTGGGGGTAGTGGTGCGAGGTCTGTATGTGATTGGTATGGAATCATGGATCTATCATTGACTAACATCACATAAGCTTCTCGTGGTGCATGGATGATTGGTGAGGAATTTTCTATTGAAGGTGAATTTGATGATGGGGATTCAAGGGCTACAAAATCTTTTAATGTCGGCATGGCTGTCGTGCCTCTCAATGCTTCATGCAAGGGGGAAATGTTAGGATAGGAGCCATTAGGATCCATAGCTACTAGCAAGATCAACAATTTGAAGTAGAAGCTATAGAGAATGGAATGCATATGCTAGGATGGCGTTTGATGCTTATGGAGATTACTACATAAGGTGATATTTATAAGGATCTTACAAAACTATAGGCGTGCATGGACTCATGTACTATTTAATTATCTCATTACCAAGAAGATCTGGATTTTAATAACTGGTATTAATACAACATATAAAAGATATGGGATAAAAAATTCTAATAATTAACAAGATCTTTTACGATCTTTTGGTAAATTTGATCTTCCCACCTGCTTTCATAAAACCTAGCATTAGTCATGTGCAATATATGGTATGATTATTGAAGAATTGGTCCCATGTATGTTCTCTTTTGTTGGAAGAATAAACATGTATGTTGATACAAAATTGCATGAAGTGATGTCACTTTATTATCGTATTTCAAAAAAATAACTTCCTTATATGATTGCAAAATAGGTCCAAACTAGTATTGCTAATGGATCTGTGAGAGATAGAGATAGATAGATAGAGAGATGGAGAGAGCAAAGATTTTCCATATATGTCTTTCTCTCGTGGATCAACATTTTGATGCAAGGCAGGCAACCAAAAGGTCCAAAGTTGCACCCCGCAGGTTTGCTGCAGACTACCAAACACATCCTCAATGTTTTCCGTAGGGGACACGAGAGACTGCATAGTGGGTCAACTCTGTAGGTCATCAAGTCAAGCACCAAAGTAGTTTGTACTTTGAAAGACATATACCAATCTATGCGTTTATGTGCGTTCTTTCTAGGAGGAGGATAGGCCGTGACACTCGATTGGAGTGAGTGCAGGCTTCATTCTTAAAGAAGACATATCGCAATCACCTTGATATACAAAAACTGCATGTCAATCATATGAAATGATCAGCTGAATCAAGCGGCACTCGTCCACAATAACTTTTAGTAGCTGCACTGTAGCATGCCCAGTAATCAAAGAGGAGAAATAATTGTGATCCATTAGTACCCACAAGGAAGAAAATACGCATACGCACATCCGCGGGCGAATTTTTTTGTCGTCCAGTCAAATTCGCTGGCATAATTGGATCATCCTTCATTCGTCTTCCTCCCCCGCTCATCTTATTCATCATCAGCACCACCCGTGCCTCGCCTCTGAAAATGTTATGTCCAAGACTCGCCGCTACTCGCCAAGGTGTCCCTGTCTCTGGCTCCGTAACATTCCTGGCTCAGAGTGGGAGCTCTAAGAAGATGATTGAAGCATGAAAAAGTTTTAGGCACCAGATAAATAGCAAATGCGAATAAGGGTCTCTTTTATTTGCAAGATTTTGAAAATGCGAGAACAAGAAAGGTATAGAACCGAAGTGGCAATGCCCACTTGAATCCTATAGGATTAGCAAGCATCGTTTGATGCCACATGAAAAACAAAGAAATTGTAAAAAGAGGTTGGAGTGGCAGTTATATATTCTATGAGATATAGTATAAAAGATTACATATGAAGTATTCCTATGGGATTCGATCCCATGAATCAAAGAACCAACATAGGAAAAAAAATCCTTAAGTATTTTAATCCTTCAAAAATACTACAGAAATCCTTTGAATCAGAGTAGCCCCAAATGGGAAAACACTACAACTATGACAACAACAGATACTCGAAAGTGAATCGGTTACCGTGGTAATTGTAGTTCACCTATGTTGGCTGGAGTTTTATCTTCCTGTTATGGTAACTCTAAAACGAAATATGTATGTGGCATGCCACATCTTTTTTTCAAAACTACCAACCACACTGGATGTCGTTTGTTTCAAATTTGACACGCACTGGTTTTACTCCATCGCGACCGAGCGCGATCATGGGCTTTTAGTCGCTGGTGTGTGGGCCCTATCGATACTGTCGCCTACTCTCCCTTCCCACCCTACATTACTTCCCCCTATTCATTTTTTGGCAACCACACCTCTTCCCACTCTGCTCTCTTCTCTCTCCGCTCTTCCTCCCGTGCTCTAAATTGACAATGCATGAAGCACTTTGACCATGTCGATTCTCGGCGGTCAGCGATAATTCTGTTGATGAGTCACATTCTAGTCCCCTCCATATCCTCCCCCAGTCTGTCGAGTAGTTCGTGTTCAGTTTTGGTCGCTGTTATTTGTGGTTTGTTCATCGGATTGGTCGCTCATTATACATAGCACAGGTGAGGGTTCATTCCAATAAGCTAAATCGGTGATGGATTTGCTATTTGGTAGCCCCTATTTCGCATGCACAATGTTTAATTGACGATTTTCTGTTATTTTCATGGGTTAGTTCTATTGATGTTTGGAACCGAACGTCTCTATTTGCTATTTCCATATTGGTTCTAGCGTTTCTAGAGATGCTTATTTTTGCTTTGATCGATTATGTTTTCCATGCACGGTCGCTTCCACGATGATTTTGCCGTTATGGTTTTCATGGATTGCAGGAGGGTTAGTTGTGGGAATTGGGAACCAAACCCCTTTGTTCTTCAATGTTGATGCTATCAATTTCGTAGTGCTTTTCTCGGTTTAGAAATTTGTTTTCAATCCTGAAGGACCTGCTGTAATTTGATACGTCTCCAACATATCTATAATTTTTTTATTGTTCATGCTATTATATTATCCATCTTGGATGTTTCATATGCATTATTATGCTATTTTATATCATTTTTGGGACTAACTTACTAACCTAGTGCCCAGCGCCACTTGCTGTTTTTCCTTGTATTTGTCTCTACAAAAAATCAATACCAAACGGAGTCCAAATGGAACGAAACTTTTTGAAGATTTTTCTTGGACCACAAGACACCCTAGAAGCTTCGGGAGGAGGCCAAAAGGG